TAAATCTATTCTGACTTTTCATTACAGAAAAACCTGCCTGATAGTCTTTCTCCCATAAAAAAGTAATTTGGCGAAAAATTCAAAATACTTTTTTCTTCTGAGAACTACTTTCTTGATTTGTTTCAGTCCCCAAAGGTTTAGCGAAGTTGCTCTGTAGGTTTTTGACCATGACACTGCTGATGCGCATCTACTCGTACATGTGCCTTATATGTGTATGTATCTGTGAACATTTTTTGCATAATGCCATCATAAGGCATACGATATTTGCATTTCCACAGAGCTTCCAAATATTTCGTAATAAACTAATAAAATATGTTTGCTACCGATAAAAATTAGCCAGCCGGAAGTGACCCTTAGAGTTACATCTTTTATCAAAATTAATAGTTTTGACGAACAACGTCATTTTCTGACTCGTGTGAGTCTTAGGTCACAAATTTGATGCGATGGATACAAGTTTAAAAGTTGTTTAGAAAATGATTACCTCATTGCATAGGCTTTGTGAAATAGTCCCACAACCGTCTGTGAAATTATAGTTCGAATCTTCTGTTTTCACGTCAGGAACACTTTTGAACTTTGCCTGTAGAATCTAAAATCAAAGGTTAAGAGTTAAAGCAATACTAATCCTCTGTAAAAGTGAACATTTACCTCAATAGTTTCTTCTGTACTTGTGAAACAGAGTGCAATCCTTGCTGAATATTTAGAAACCACTTTTTCTTTGCTAAAGTTTCCCATCCATTTGTAGGCTTGTTCTAATGTTTTAAAGCCATTTTCTTCATGATAAAACCAAAACTGTTTTTCTCTCAATTGAGATTGTGAATGATGTAAATATTTGTACCATCGATCCTTGCCAATTTCAAATCCCTCATTTGTACTTAAATAATTCATTAATAGTGGACGTAGTCCTTTAAAATCGTATGCTTGCAAATCTCTCCCATTTTCTTCTCTTAAATCAACTAAGGCAAAATTTGTAGATTGACCAAACTGTTCTACTGCACGTATAACTCGGTTTGTTCGACATAACTTCAGTGGTTTAATTTGAATTGTTGTAGGAGTTATTGTTACGTTTGGAACGTAAGTATATTTCTTTGAGTTGATATTTATCGTACTTATCATTTCATATTGAGCTTGAGCTAATTTTCGATCATATTCTTTTGATGCGTGTTTTAATTCATCAAGTGGATTAAAATAATGATTACTTGTTGAATATCGCCACAAATAAAGGGAAACACGATAAAATGGATCATCACCTTTTGAAGCTAAGTTTTCCAGTTCTTCTACAAATTCATCTGTGATTTTTAATTGAAAACGATATCCTGCGCTTAATAACATTTGAAAACTATAATTTTGAATAAATGAGAAGAACTGAATTCTTGACAAGTATGTATCAAGTTGTTGAGTATCTTTCTGTGCACTTATGATAGAGCCAAAACAAACATCTATTTTGTTTTTGGAGAAGAATTGTAAAAAGTGTTTGAACAAGTTTAGAATAGGTTGAATATTTTCTGACTGACTACGAGCGACAAATTGAATTGTCGAAAAATATGGATAAGGTTTTTGATATGAACATGGTTTTCGATTGTATCTCTCTTGTTGTTGATTATTTGACTTAGCTACTAGCGGTTCTTGTCTTGCTCGCTGTGAATAATGGCCTTGAGACCTGGAACGATTTTCGTCATCTTCTGCGATTTCATTTCGATGAGTTGCGGGTGGCCTAGATCCTAAACAAAGAAAAGAAATCAGAATTATGTTCTTACTAGATCTAAATCTCTAGCTTTATTCGTATGTATTTTTTCAACTCATCACTTCTGTAGCTTATTTTTATTATAATAAATACAATAATCCACAGCTATCCTTATATAGATCCTAGATCTTCTGGTGCGTTGTTTGAGTGCTAAACTTACCTCTCTTTTGTGTCTCATACTCAACGAGGTTGCATTTTTGACAAAGATAAAGAATAAATCCATTATTGTTAAGATGAAATATGGCTGTATGATCAATGTTTTCTTCTAAAATACATTGTTTTGTTTTTGAACCATTTTCTGCTATTTCTAGATCAATTTGTCTATCGAAGAAAGCAAATGTCCATTTAGATTGAGTATTTTTCCGTGTAAACGAAGATGAGTAGTTATACTGGTCCATTGATAATAGAGCACCATAGTTCATTTCTAATTCAATCGTTTGAAATCGATTTACTCGACCAATTGCTCTTCTACGTTCTACTTTTGGACCTATTTGCCTCTTTAGTTCGTAATCTAATCTCGAATCTTGAAATTGTAATGGCGGTTTAAACATAATCCAAAATGGACGATTCTTTTTTGTAAATTGTAGATGGGAGCATAATTGAGCTAGATCTATCCTTTGATGCTGCGGAAATGAACGTTGACTAAGACTCAATCCAAAACGATACTGAATTACGTTGCTAGGAAGATCAGATGGGTTCAGTTGTAGACATTCTTCTGCATAAGAAATTCCATTATCTTTTTCATTGACAATGATTGTAACCTCCTTTTGAACAACTGTTACAAATGATAGTCGTTGAACAACAGTAGATTGACGATCTACAGATTTACTTCGATTTTGTCGGATTGAAACATCATTAGGAGTGTCACGTACTACAGAGATGCCTGCATTACTTGCACCGTAACTTTCTTCCTCGGTATCATCCGTGGATAGAACAAGATAATTATCTTCGTCTTCTTGGGAAGAGTCGTGTTGCTTCACTTCATATTCCTCATCTGGAAGTTTTTCCCATACTGATATGTCACTTTTATCCTAAAAACATAAAAGATGAATTTCATCTGATATTAGTGACAACACAGAAGAAGTATCT